CTCTCTCTCTCTCTCTCTCTCTCTCTCCCTCTCTCTCTCTCTCTCTCTCTCTCTCTCTCTCTCACAGTGTTGAGTACTGGTTTACCCTCACCCCACCATAGAAAAAAATAATAATCATCGATAGAATAACGGGTTCGGTCGATTGGATCAGTTGTCGGTCGCAGCGGTGGTGGTGACATACATCTCGGGAATAATAGATTCGATAATAAATGATATAACCTATAATTGATCCGCAAATGATTTCGGTTTTGACGATTAGTCAAAACAGTTGACAAGCACGTACGTACTCCATACAACTTTGGATATATATATATATATATATATATATATATATGCGATGATATTGTATGCATATATGCATATGTAAGTGTGTATGTATGTATATCTATTAGTTAAAGTCAAATAAATATGATGAAGGATACATATCTCAATGTTTGTACTAACACTGTTTCTACAAGATTTAGATCGATTTTCATTCATGTTTTCCTATTAAAAACATCTATAATTCATTACTACCTGCAATAACAAATTAAATCTGAATCTTTGTTTTTATTTTTTTATAATTTGAAAATTCATCGGATTTTTAAACCAACTATAATTTTTAGAGAACAGCATAAATGCCTCTTCCAAATAAAAATAGAACTTGGGTTGAAAAAAAAAGCAAAATCTCTCTCTCTCTCTCACACACACACATATATATATATATATATATATATATATAATACGATAGCTTCATTAAATGTCCATGAGAGTTACGAGCATGGATTAGGCAAAAATATTCGTTTGATAATGTAATTTGCAACCGGTAACGAAATTATGTGCACGAATAAATAAATAAACAGGAGGCGAGTAGCATTATTATTATACTTTATACACGTCCCCAATAGGAATCTTTTGGATCATCATGAATGTTCTCCCTAAATGATTTATTTATTTATTTATTGGTTGGGTTTCACTTTTTAACCTCCAAACTATTACATAATGCAACCATATCCAATTCAATTCTCCACCCACTTTTCCCTATATTAATTCCGATAATTACTGTTTCCAATTAATTAATCAATCTTGTAACAGAAGATATCACCTAATTAAACCACTCGTCCATAGCTCACAAGCTTTGAAAAACCGTTAATTTCGACCAACGTTAAATCGAAGTCATGAGAGAGATGGATAGATTCCACCTTCGACAGTAACTTTTATGCCCTCTTCAATTATTGTTTTCTCATGGAAATTAAATATATTTATTCAGTAAATACTTTTTACTGTAGAATATAAAAAGTAAAATTGTGGAGGTCCTTTTTAGAGAAAATAAAATATTATAATTTTTATATCTTTCTATTGATTCTATACTAATATATATGCGAGAATGGCGTAGTTTGGACCGACTTAGCGGCTTTGATGCCGACTCTTTGTTTTGTTTGGGTACTTCTTCGATTTTTCTTTCTATGAAAACTATTATTTTTGGTGCGTCTCTATCGAATGATTTTGGATTCCAATTCTATTTAATTTAATATATGGTTTTTGCTATTTTCATTCCCCATCTTTATTTTTTCCTTATCATGTGGATGTTTTATTTTTTATTTTTAGTAACAAATCCGGCATAGTTGTCATTATATATAGGAAAGTGAAACTGTCTCATTGAAAGCAGTTTAAATAAGAAATTTTACTTTGATTTATTTTTTTTGGATTCACGATGATAATTAGAAAAAGTAGTGATACTAATCAAGTTATGTGAACTTTCGATCAAATGAAAACGTAATTATCCATATAAAAGGGAATATGCTTTTTGGACCCACATGTTCCCCCTTTTTTATCAATTAAAATAATTGATTGGGTTAGAAAATATTTTTATCCATGAACGGATAAAACATCATCAAATTCACATAATATTGTTCGGCTGTCATTTTCTCCCTATGGCTCTGCTTATTGAAAAATCGTAATCATGAATATTAATAAGCTTTTGCGCCCATCATTTATGCATACACTATATATACTATTCATCAACTAGATGAATATATCGATCTTATTATATCACGTCGAATATAAGGTTAGTTGTATTATTCCAATATCATTAAATTAGTTTTAAATATTTATATTCATTTATAAAAACTAATGAAAATTAATATAGTTTCATTTGCATTTCCGAAATAATATCAAATTAATTTAAACTATTTTTTCCTTATTGTTAATTATATCTCGATAATAAACATTAATTATATATCCGTTTGGAAAAATATTTGACCGTAAGATATCACACTTGGAATGTACGGCATTTCAGCTAAAAAATCTTACAACATTTCCTAAAGAGGATAGAGAAAATATAGAAAGTACGTTATAATCTTATAATTTTTTTGGTGATTATAATATGTTAATTATCTATATCCCTCCCCCTTCGAAATGTAACTGAACGCTGGTATTGAATTTTTACAGTTATATAAGTCAGTTTTTATTCAATCATATTTATAAATTTGTATAGCTATTTTCTGTTCATAACTATTTTTATTACTGAAAATGAAAATGTCGGTTTTTAATAATTTTAATGTAATTTTTTTTAAAATAAAAATAAAATTTATAATCAATATGTACTTGGACACAATTTTGAAGTTAAAATCATAATTTTTGAACAGGGACCTATAAAAAAGAAAGCCTGTAAACATGTTCAGAATCAGAATCTTTCTTTGATTTTGTGGACCGTTCTTCGATCTCACGTGCAAACATATACGCCGTATGTGTATGTATCGACATTTTCTCTTGTGTTTTTTCGATTTTCGTTGGGGTTAAAAGAGTAATTATCCTCATTTATAGCCTTACAAAAGCTTCACTCCGATCGACCGAACCGCAACAGACCAAAAACAAAAGGCTTTGTTTTGATCTTCTTGTTTTGCGTCCTCTCTCTCTCTCTCTCTCTCTCTCTCTCTCTCTCTCTCCTTCTTCCATTATCGGCAGCCTCTTGAAAAAACTTAACTAAAAAAACTCACGTAAATATAGTTACGGCCTTAATTTCCCAAGAGGGTCTTCACCTTTTTGCCTTGTCTCCCCCTCGGGACAAAAAGAGAGGGACAACCACACTTTATGTCTTAACTCTCCCTCCCTCTCTCTCTCTCTCCCTTTTTCGTTTTTTTTTTTTTGGAAGATCGATTTCAGGCTAAGATGGCGTTGGAAGCTGTTGTTTACCCACAAGATCCGTTCGGGTACGTGTCTTGCAAAGATTTCCTATTCCACGACTTGTATTTCCAAGAAGATCGAGACGGAGACACCAAGAGCAACATAAAGCTAGGGCAAGAACAAGAACAGGGCTTTGCCTGTAACCACTACACTAATCACACTGCTGAAAACGATAATGAAGACAGCAATCTCCGAGCAACTGAGGATCGTCATCATCCATGGCAAGATCATGTTCAGTGCCCTCTGATTCCTTCCTTGGAAGGGTTCGGCCCGCTGTCGATGGACAACCAGCCTCCGCCGGATATTGCTGTCGTGGCGGCGGGTGGTCGCCGGAAAAGGAGGAGGACGAGGAGCAGCAAGAACAAGGAAGAGATCGAGAATCAGAGGATGACTCACATCGCCGTCGAGAGAAATCGCCGGAAACAGATGAATGAGTACCTCGCCGTCCTTCGTTCTCTCATGCCTCCGACTTATGCTCAAAGGGTTAGTCTATTACTCACTCTTAATTTATATATCTTTGTGTGCATACATACATACGTACATATATATACACACACATATGTGTGTGTGTGTGTTTTGAGTGTTTTTAACATGTATGAGAAAATGGACGCAATATATATATATATAGTTGCATACACGCACATAGAGATTTGTCAGCTGATGAGAAAACCTGTGTGCGTGTGTGCATACATTGCGTGATTGGGAAAATTTTGAACACATATTTCTATAAATGTGTCCACAAGATTTCTCATAGATGCGATTTTCAAGTGAAACGTGATTTTCAGTGTGTTGGGTCGGTCAGCTTTAGCGGGTGACATATCCACGAATTCGCGATAAAACATCAAATCGACCAACCGAAGCAAAGATCTATACTCTCTTGATTTCATCGGTGAAGTGAAAAAATCGAAACCCTATTCACATTTATGTGTATATATGCACATGTACATGTTCATTTAATCTAAATGGATAATTTGATAACAAATATTGTTTTTATAATACATATAGATAAATATTCATTTTTTCCATGAGTATGAACAAGTATTTGTATGGCGTTCAGTAAATCCAAGGTGTCATTGTCACTAAGAAAAAAGCCACCCAAGAGTAAATTATATGAAGAATGAAATTAATATGATAAAACTATAAAAAAAAAAGGGTGCTTTATAATGAATATTTCGATTAATAGGAGGAAATTTATGAATACCATGGTCCCGAAAATGATATTAACACACAATATAAATTGGTGGAATATATTGTACTAATCCAACTTGTGTATTTTTTTCCTTCTGATATTGTGTGTAAAGGGAGATCAAGCATCGATTATAGGAGGAGCCATAAACTACGTGAAAGAGCTCGAGCATCTCTTGCAATCAATGGAGCCTAAGAAGAAGACCCAAAACAGCGGCGACGACGACGACGACACGTCCTCTTTCTCCGACTTCTTCACTTTCCCTCAGTACACTCTCCGTCCGTCGGAGAGTTCGGCGGCGGCGGCGGAAGGGACGGCGGAGATAGAGGTGACGATGGCGGAGAGCAACGCCAACCTTAAGATCCTCACCAAGAAACGACCGAGACAGCTCCTTAAGCTTGTCTCCGCCATTCAGAGCCTTAGGCTTACTCTTCTTCACCTCAATGTCACCACTCTCGATCACTCCGTTCTCTATTCCATCAGCGTCAAGGTACAATTTTCCTATATTGGTTATATATATAAAAGAGTATTCTAATCTTTGATTAATTATTAAAATACATACATAGTTTCGGATGTGAAAAGAATATCGACTAAAATGCCAACTTGTTATGATTTCGGTTCAATCATGCTCATTTCTCATACCTTTAATTCATTGGTCCGTCTCTTATTTTTGGATTTTTCAGTGGAAATATGTGATGTGTTAGTACGTCTTTTTATTTTTTTATTTTTATTTTTATTTTGTCTGGGAAAAAAAGGGTAGGAAAGCCACCATTGATATTGTTCCTTTTTGGCTTCATTTCCTGGTTGGAGATGTCCTCTATTATTATTGGGGGGAATTTCACCACCTTATATTTGGATACAAAAAAATTTGAGTAATAACATCGATCAAATGAGTGTACGTGTATATGGTACGCTATTATTAATGTATGCATATACACATTACATATACGCATATACATTGGTTATGTATAGGAAGCCAACGTACGTCAATGTTTAGTGGTCACAGAACTGCTACTAGCAGAACCGATGTGACGCCACTTCGTTTAGGACATTTTCATAAGCTTCTTTCTATTTTTTTTATATATATATATATATATACATATGTGTGTGTGTGTGTTCTTTCTGCCACAAATTTTCCCCTTTAATTATATTTTAAATTCGTAAAAGTAGTTATTGTCCGTAAGTTTTTTTAAATTTAGAATAAAATATGATTCTACCGAACCGTCCATTTGGCTTTTTCGTTCGTTAGAGCGAAGTTTGTTGATATATATATATAAATTTTATTGATGTGTGTGTATGTATGTATGTATAGGTTGAAGAAGGGAGCCAACTGAACACGGTAGATGACATTGCAGCAGCTGTGAATCAGATCCTAAAGAGGGTCGAAGAAGAATCCGCGTTTAGCTAATTAAGTGTTTAAATAATTAACTAAATTACATCATGTTAAACCTAAATCTTTACTTTAAAATTTTAAATAAAAATAAATTTACCCTTTTATCAAATGGCTCCCCTTTTCTTGTAAGTTGCCTCTCGCGTCTTCTGTATCAAATCAAATCAATTATTTCCATCATTTTTTTCTTCTTCTTTTCAATGTATTTACCTTTTAGACCCATCCACTTTAAGGGGTTTGGAAAATTGAAATTATATTTGTTTTAATATTTAACCTTTTTCTAATTTTTATAAAAAAAACCTTTTTTTCTAATTGTCACAAAGGACAGTATGTGATATTGGCAAGCAAAACCACTCGTTAACCAAAAGAAATGTTTCCTACTATGGTCTTAATAATTTTTTATTTATTTTTAACATATTTATAAAATAAATCATTATCGAGACTGATCGATCATATACTATATTTTGTTCGAATATATATGGTTAAACCAAAACTTTCTTGACATTTCAAAATACTACAGTGCAGTGATTTTAAAATAGATATAATGATTTATAATCTAAAGACGGTTTCATGTGATTAGCCATACTTTTTATATTCCAAAGTACACATTCAACCAACTGGCGTTCGGAAATAAAATTAAAAGCAGCAAAAAAAAATTCCAATGATGACCATAATGATATTAAAGACTTTATTTTTCTTTGTTTTATTTATTAAAAAAAAAACAATCGTCACAGAATCAAAGTACGTACGTGGGTTTCATGCAAGAAGATGATGATCATTGTCGTATCATGAAGACCCATCAACGATTTTAGAATCTGTTGTCACTTTTGGAGGTGAAAAAGAAAAGTCACAGCTACACACCAAAAAAGCAAACCTATGGTTGTGATGTAAATTATATATATA